TGAACAATCTCTTCTTTAAAACTTCCAGTGTTGGAGCATTTGCAACTTCTAGAGGCTAGTTGTTCCACTGGTTAATTGTTCTAACTGTCAAGAAATTTCTCCTTAGTTCTGCCCTCAGGTGCTTTGAAGAATAGCTTGACTCCCTCTTCTTTGTGGCAACCCCTGAAATATTGGAACACTGCTATCATGTCACCCCTAGTCCTTCATTTCATTAAATTAGACATACCCAAGTCCAGCAACTATTCTTTACATGTTTTAGCCTCCAGTCCCCTAATCATCTTTGTTGCTCTTCTCTGAACTCAATATCTTTTTTTACATCATGGCAACCAAAACTGTGTTTTGGTAAGTGTGGCCTTACCAAGGCATTATAAAGTGGTGTTAACACTTCACGTGATCTTGATTCTATCCCTCTGTTAATGCAGCCTAGAACTGTGTTGGCTTTTTTGGCAGCTGCTCTCACACTTCTGGCTCATATTTAAATAGTTGTCCACTAGGATTCTGAGATCCCTCTCACAGTTACTACTATTGAGATAGGTACTACATATATTGTACCTGTGCATTTGATTTTTCTTGTCTAAATGTAAGAACCTTACTTTTTTCACCATTGAATTTCATTTTGTTAGATAGCGCCAATGTTCAAGTTTGTCAAGATCCTTCTGCATCTTAAGCCTAGCTTCTGGAGTGTTGGCTATTCCTGCTAGGAAATAAGGTAAGAACTTCCTTGACTCGAACTCAACTCCTGGTCATCACACGAGCATGTCTGTGTAGATTGCTTGACAACAATAAAAATGTGGTTTGCCATTCTTTAAGGGTGAATGCTGATTTCCCAACCTAACCAAGAGCTTTTTTAAATGAAGTAACCTCCCAACTAAGCCCTAATCTTGGCTTTTTTCTAGTATCAACCAAAGACTGCTATGTGCTGTCACCTGCTGTGACTCTTGCATATTGCATTTAATAACTGGGGGGAAAAAAGGTTCAGCAATGAATCCAATAAGAGCAGCGCTTGAGATGTGGTATGGAAATCCAGCACGCAGAGCAAAAAGGATTGTTTTTGCCTTTTAAAAATCTAAACATTTCAAATCCAATAGTCTGAACACTGTAGGTATTTTAATTTGGATGCCCAGGCTGAGCAGATTTGGATGAAGGCCTAAATGTTCCTTTCCAACTCCATAAATACGTGATCTAAGATATAAATTCAGCCTGTGATAAAGTTGCTAACTGTCAGAAGATCCAGAATCAACTCCTTATGATTTTTTTTTTTTTTTTGATGGCCCATCCATTCAGAGATATTCTGAGCATGGAGAGGATAACTCTCCTCTAAGCTCCTCAATAAATATCTGCATTTCCTGAAATGAAAGAGTAACTACTAATTTTACAATTTTTATATTGCCTGGTGCACTTTTGTCTACTGGGGTGTATATAAAATATAAACGCAGGCAAAGAGTAGAATACTAGTGATCAAATACAGAAACCAAAGTTTTCAGCAACTTGCAGAAGACTACACACTGCCAGGCAAATCCTGGGAGCTTGAATCACAACGCATAGGGACCACCACAAGAATGACTGCCTCCAAGCAAAGTTCCCTGAATGGGATGGTTATAAGGATGGAGTTCCCTGGACAACATGCATAAACTGGGAAGATTCTATCTAGAAGCGACCAATCTCTTAAGTACACTTGAAGCCTTTAAGTGTAAGGCTTTAAAGGTCAAAACAAGACTACTGAATACTGAAAAGATGCCATGAGGTCTTTTATTTCACAAGAAGAGTTCTCCGCTCCTCTACTCATTGCAGAATACCTTATGCCACCAGACTTGAAACTCTAGACCTAGAAAACCTAGAACTTCGTTGCCTCCGGTCCGATCTAAATATAGTATATAAAATCATACATTGCAATGTCCTACCTGCAATACTTCAGCTTCAATCATAACAATACAAGAGCATACAATAGATACAAACTCAAGGTTAACCGAACCAAACTTGACTGCAGAAAATACGACTTCAGCAAAAGAGTGGTCAATGTTTGGAATACTCTACCTGACTCTGTAGTTTCTTCCCCAAACCCCAAAAACTTTAACCGTAGACTGTCTACTATTGGCCTCACCTCCTTCCTAAGAGGCCTGTAGGGGTCGTGCATAAGCGCACCAATCGTGCCTACTGTCCCTGTCCTATTGTTTCTTTTTATTTTTCTTATAAGCATCTATCTCATGTATTCAAAAGTATATTTATTCTTATACCTGTATCTTGTAAGCGATTGACAAATCAAATAAAAACTAAAAATACTAAAAAAATACTAACCAGTACAGTGCATTAAACATAGGTGCAATACTCACATAGCAGCAATTTGCAGCCTAATCATTGCATTTTGCACCAATCAAAGGATCCAAATTATTTTCAAAGGCAACAAGAGTTGAAAAATCCAGAAGGACCCCAGTTTATGAATCAGTTCTTTAGGGGGAAGATGAGCCTGTCCCTAGTTACAGTTCAAACCAATAGAATGGTTCTATGTTTTGGACAAATGGCATTCAATTAAGTCTGAGGTTCTTTCTCCCCATCCAGACACTGCCCCTCCATGTCACTAAGACAGTAAGTTACATTCTTGTTCAGCTGCTTTTTTTTTAAAAAAAAAAGTTATAAATGTGACGGTGATGGTTTTTCTCCATTTCAGCCTAGCATCGATATATTATAGCATATATGTACTGTAGATTATTTTCTGACTTCAGATATAAATGTACTTTCAAAAAAAATCAAAACTAAATTAAGCACAGTGACTAAACACACAATTTATGTTTTGCAGAAAGATGGACAGTGACATTTTCTGTGACGTGTGACAAAGATCTGCATGCTGTGAGAATCTTTGCATGCGTCACCTCTCCCAACACATCTGTGATAATCAGCATATCCCCTTTTAATTGTATGCTCTCTTGACTTCCTTGGAGGAACGATCTAATTTTATATGTGCAGTGCATTCCCTTCTTCAAAATGAGATACTACTTTCTATTCACTCATTAGTTGTATGCAAAAAAATTTCTTGCATTAATCTAGGATGTTTCTTCGGCATTTTGCTAATTCTACTCACTGGCTGGAGTGATCATGTATGTAAATTCGCGAAGTCAAACTTGTTGGATGTATATTTTCATAGTTAAACTTCTTTGTCTGTGACTTGGTTTTAGGAATTCTCAAGTAGGTTAGATACATTTAATATTGTGTGCTGACGCTTTCTTTTTCTCCCACACCATCAAGAAGGGGTATTGATCTTAACAAAAAGAGGACGTGGCACTCTGTCTTGGCCACAGCTATAAAAATTCCTATTTATCAGATCAATTCAACAATAGGAATCAAAACCAGTCCTGTGGACAGGCATGGAGAAATGGGTCATTCCCACTGGTTTCACCAGCTACCCAGCACCTGCCCAATCATATGCTTTTCACAGGCTATGTGATATTAGGCTAACTTAGCAGTACAGATGAATGTATATGGCACTTCTCCCTATGATGGATAATCTTGGTCCTTATTCTCTCTCTCTCTCTCTCTCTCTCTCTCTCTCTCTCTCTCTCTCTCTCTCCCTCCCCCTCCCTCCCTCCCTCCCTCTCTCTCTCTCTCTCTCTCTGCAATGTTCCTCTTATCTATAGCAATCCCAGCCACATTGTTATCATATAGATACTACTCTGTCACTCCCAAGAAGCAGATTATGTGCCAATCTGACGTGATGATTTAAGAATCATGGATATAACTAACTTAATTTTGATAGGGAAGAGCATTTAAGCATTCTGAATGGCACAGTTCTAAAAAAAATGGAGCACATGGCTTTCAAAACTACTGAATGTGTTTGTTCCAAATGAGACAAATATACTGTACTTTTAAGAACTGCTGAATTATTAAACTTGGTGCTCCTAAACTTTGGCTGTATTAGCCAAGGACATTTGGAATTAAGAATTCAATAAAATTTGGGGATCACATGCTTTTATTTTATACTATACAATCAAGCATTGGTGCAGAGGGAAGGCAAAGAAATAGTTTCCCTCAATTTATTCTTATAGTTTGTTCTTGGAATTAACTAGAGAACTGTGGCATAAACAAGGGTGTTTTGTTTTGATTTCTTTAAAACCCTGCATCTTTTGCTTCTTTTTACTGCCCCTCTTGTCGTAATTACTGTTTAAGACCGCTGTTATATTAGCCTACGGTATTTTAAAGATGCCTTTTATTAGAGACAAGCTGTCTTAATTTACTCCATGATTAAGAGTCAAACGTTTTTTATCACATGCAACCAGAAACCTAGCTGTTGAAACACCGTGCCTCAGCCATCATAAGGAACAAGAATGTGATGACCCAGGGCATGGCACAAAGGCAACACAGTCAAATAAGCAATGAGAGTCCCTTTATTATCTCCAACTTTGCCCCCAATGTCCAGGTTACCTTCAGCTGGAGAAAAAATCTCCCAGGAATAGCCTTTAATTGTAGAAAATTCAGTCCAAAACAAGGTACACACAAACTGTAACTTAAAATCCAAACAAGCCAAACTGAAGTAATTAGCTTGACAGGGCAGGAGAAGGAATTTCAGACTTGAAAGCACGGCAAAACTCACACAGTTGGGAAGATGCCAGGAACATAGATAAGCCACAACGATACACGATAAATTCATGTTTCCTCCCAACAGCTTGCTGCGCACAGCTTCCCTTTTTTATACACTGTGTTCCCAGCTGCAGCTAATGAAGGGAATCAGGGCCCTTTCCTCCCCGTAAGCCACGCAACCCACATTGTTCTCTTCTCCGTTCCTCCCTGCGTGCCCTAGGATGAAGAGGGGGTGGGCCAGGGTCTTCCTCTGAATTCCCTCTCCTCCCTTGCTCTATGTCTCCCCTGCTCTGGCCAGCTGGACTTTGCCCTTCCCCAATTTCTTCCACAACCAGCAGAGCCATACTCGCACTCCCTATCACCTGCTCAGCTTCCTCCTCCGAGTCAGATTCCAACAGACGCATGACAAAGAAGTAGGCGTCCATGCTTACCTGACGGTGTCAGCAGCAGTAATAGCAATTAGAGGGAGAGCTCTCAGTGGAAGGTTGGTGGGCCTCTGCGGCATCTCTGGATCAGTCTTTTTCTCCCAGTCTACCTGCTCCAGTTGTCTAAATGCCAAAGGAGGAAGCTGGAGGGTACGACAGGACAACCTCCTAACACGATACTGGTCTGTTCCTTGGAGAATCATTTCTTCTTCATTTTGATGGTACAGTGTTTCTTCTGATGCCTAAAATAACAAAGATTATTTGAATAAATCTCTGCCGTGAAATTGTTCAAAAATTCCATCATTACATGTAAATCCTTATATTTTTAGTTTTTTAAAACAAAATATATATGAAAAAGAAAAAAAGAGGAACCTGATTCTTTTCATACTGAGAGGTCCTTGCTTGGTTGTTTTCTTGCAGAGGTTTCATTACCCAAACTAGCAACATCGTCAGAGCACCTCAGAGAGCACTAAGCACCCCTCATTTCAACCCGAACTACAAATATTCTCCGTTTATCTTTTCATACATTTTGGCAGTGCTGGAGAATTTACTGTAGAATACATTTGCTTACATTAAGCAGATATACTTTATTAAGCTCAGTACAGAGTCTGAGAGTTGTTCTCCGGAGCCTCCTTCAACCAAGCTCTGAAATTCAGCAACAGAGTACTAAGAATCAACCGCATGCTTTCCAGTTTTAAGGGTAATGTCAATGTTTTAGGCTTTAGACTTGGAATTTAAAACATTAAAATAACCTTGAATAACGCTAAAGGCTTGTGAAAACAAGGAAGGGGGGAAAAATCTAATTTCCACACCACTCAACTTGTAAGATGCAATTTCATTGATTGTGCCTCTAGTCTAGGGCATCAAAACAAGGAAGGCAGAATGTGGGTCCCAACTATAGAAAAGTAGCCTGGGTTTGGCTTGCAGAAATGGTCATAAAAGCTTAAGGAAACTTTCATGATAATATTTGGGTATTTCCCAACATTTTGGCAAAACAAACAAACCTGTTTTGCTACAACTGGGGTTGCAGGCACAAACAACTTTTCAAGCATTACTAGTGGCAATAACTGTTAATGGATCTAACTTTTTTTTTCATTTTAACCCAAGTCCTCCTTCCAGATCAAATTATGGCTACAACCCATATTTTGGAAGAAATTTAATTTAAAACACTCAAGCCCTTTTAATCTTGCAGGCTTTAATTTTTAAAACACATGAATAACAGGTTTTGTCAGAATCCTGCAAAACAAAAACAAAAAGCAGAGGGAAACTCATAGCACCTTTGTTGGTTAACAAATCTTATTAAAAAGCAAAGATTTTCTGTTGTGGTACGTGGCCCAGCAGCCTGCGGAGATGGCAGCAGAATAGGACAGTGGGGAAATACATGGGCCAGTCTAGGAGTCTGGGGAGGACTCAGATAAAGGTCCTGCTTCCGATAAAGAGATGGGACCAGGGCCATCTGGGAGTTATGTGCTGACTTTGGAGCCTCCAGAATCTGGCAGCAGTAAGGCAGAGGAACAAAGGAAGCCTGTTCCCAATACGTGTGTGCGCAGAACTGCCAGAAGGCAAGATCAGTTAAGACAAAAGGGGCAACTCGGGAGTAAGGCTTGGAGGTGATTGTCCCTCCCATAAGATATAAAGTGCAAAGGGACAGGAACCTTTGCAGGAAGCAACATCGTTCACTCTGTTCGAATTAAACCTTGAAGCTCTATGTGGACTTTGTACTTCATTTGGCTTTTTACAGTTTATTTGGCACTTTAGTTGTTGGCAGCAACTCAAAGGAGATAAAGGTGGGTGTTTATCTTGAGAGACTGTTTGGGATTCATTACGGGCTGGGAATGAACATAATTCCCAGCATTGAAATAAAAAGAGAATTGTTTGGACTAAGCGTGTGCTTAATTACAGCCTCAGGAAGCCTTGATCAGAACACCTTCCTGACAACAGCAGCATGATTCTTCTGATATATAGAATGTGACTTTCCTCTATGCTTTGAGATGGAAGGACTCATATATACTAACATTGGAAGAATGGGTAGTAAAATTAACAGAGTTGGAGGAGATGGTGAAACTAACTGCTTTGATTAAAGAAAAGACTTTATCTAACTTCGTTTCTACTTGGAAACCACTCTTGGAATTATTATTTTTTGCTTGAAACTTAAAGAAATGAAATTTTAATCTTGTATTTTGATGACTAGACTGCTTATGGTAGAAGTACTGTTTGTTATAGCTTATTCTAGTTCAAAGGGGAATTGACTCAGGTTTTTTATCTGTACTGAAGAAAATTGGAAGTTACTTTCTCTATAGCTTTTTGTCTGCATTTCCCATTTTTGCTTTTTCTTTACCTATTCTTTCCCCCTTTTCTTTTAAAATTTTTTCTTTGCTCTTTGTATTTTATCCTTTTCTGAAATGTAATGAACTTTTATTTTTATTTTAAAGAGAAAAACACCTTCCTCAGATGGCTCAATTAATGTACAATTTGAAAAAAAGGGAGTAAGATGAGGAGACAGGGCAGAAAGGGAGGTTATGCAAACTTTTGGTCAGTTTTTTTAAGGTCAAGGCAGTGAACATACCTAAAACTCTTCTGGTTTTCCGCATCACAGCAACCTTGTGAAGTAAGTTGGGCTGAAACTGAATGACTGGTCCTAAGTCACCCAGCTGTTTTGTTTTGTTTTCAATATTACATATTGCAAGATTATAACATAACAAATATAATATAATAATTCAATAAATGATATGATAATATATTATATTACATTACATTATTGGGTTGTGTTATATCATTACATTATTGTATTATTAATGCAATAATATAGCTTGCCTTGCCAGTGTTGATGTCAGTCCAACCAGGTAGACCAATTAGGAAAACTAATTCTACTTTATTGTAAAGCTACATTAACAGAACCTTGCAAGCGTATAATTCTCTCGCTATCACCTTTACTGCCAGAGAACTTAGGGAGGGCCCCTTCTGAGCCGTTTGCTCAGCCCACAATGCAGCTGCGGGTATGCGATCTATTACCTGACTACTTCCTAAGCACCATCTGTTCACTCCATCTCCCAAGGTCTTTCCTATATATCATTACAGCTACTTTGGTATTTTCTGTATTCTAAGTGATTATTTGCTGACTACAAATAATTTGAAATCAATTTTATCTTTCTGGAAAAAAAATTAAATTAAATAATTGGAAATTATTTGTAAAGTTGGTTGACACTGGAGTTGTTTGGTTTAGTCAAAGCTAATTTATGAGGATGAAAACATTTACTGTGAAATTATTATTTTTTTACTAAATAAATCTGTCCTTCACAAAATTCTGACAAACTTGTTATTTTTAAATTAAATGGGTGACTTGGTCCCTTTGTTTTCTTCAGCATAAAAAGAGTCTAAAGAGTTTTTGAAGAAGTTTAATTATAATGTAAGTTGACATCTCAATAAATGGAGTAGATCAGGATATTATAAAAATTAAGTATGTTTTTAGGGACAGATTGTCACAGAAAAAAATGTATTGGTATTAAGAGTCAGCAATGACTTGATGGTACATAATCAATACATATCTTATACATATTAGTTGTTTAAATGTACCTAGCAAATATTAATTAACATACAAATACCACAAAACCCTCCAAAATGATGTTACTTAAAGATTAATTATCTCCAGTTATGTTTTTAGCACAAATGAAAACAAATAAAATGATGCTTTAAAGGTATTACATCTGATCCCTTGGAGGTTAGTCATAGAGGTTGCAAATGACAGTATGTGCTAGAAACCACTCTTCTTTTTTACAACTACTAATTAAAACATCTTTCTAAAATCATCAAAATGAGCTAATATACCAAAGAATTCACAGTAATAGATGGACATCCTTGGAAATTACTTTGACATAATTATTGTTCATCTAGACGAGGTTTATTTTACCAGCAATCTGATGAATAAATGAGTCACAATCACAATCACAAGCCTATACCAAGGTCCATGATGGCTAACTTAGATGACTCATTCTCCAGAAATAAAGCTGAAATAACAGACTTTCCTCCTGCATAAGGAACTTCAGCTACAGCACTGGGGAATAAGGTAAACAAATTAGCATTTGAACTGAAAGGATCTCCATACAGAAACACACTAGAAGTAGACAGTGTAAGAGGAGGAAGCTGTGGTGAGAAAAAAAAAAGACAACAATCAGAAATCTGCTTGCACTTTTTCCAATCAATACATTTCCTCAAAAGGCATAAATGCTGGTGGCAGAAAAATTACTCAAAATGGCAAATTTCCTTTCACACTACAACTCTGTTGTATGAAAGCAACCATTCTCTCTTATGCCTTCTCCGGATTTATGATATCGATATTGATAAAGTGGGAAAAATGCTGATATACATAATGTACTTCTCCCCCAATAAATACAAGTACTAAGAATATCTTCCTTTTACTGAATTTACTTTAACTTTCAATGCAACTTTGCATGGAATTCTCACAGGAGGGAACACATCTACTTGCATATCTAACACATTCTCCATATATTATCATTCTACATAGAGTATAGGCTAGCCTAGCATTACAGAGTATATTTTTCCTCTGAATTAATGTTAGGCAAGGGACAAGATGGAAATCACAATAGTTTGATAGATGAAATATCACGTTTCATCAGTTTAAATGACCTTACGTTCTATGAATTGATTTGTTGACAAGAGGCAATAAGTGGTTTTTGCTTCCATAACTTCCCACTGAGACTTACTTTCTTCGTTTCACACTGTTCTTATATCCCATGACAGCTGGAAAGTTGATCTTACTCAAACATTAAAAAAAAAGTAAATCACAGCCATTCATTAATAACAAAGAGAATTGTTTCCTATTCCTAATCGAAAACATTCCTTCAAGATAAAATACCTGTTTCTTTTCAATCTTTTGTGAAAATAGAAAATATGAGATTTCTGATTTACAGCATGCAGGCTGTACTCATAGCTGGCATTGTTCATGATTCTATTCATATGTCCAGGTGATTATCTGCCTTTTCAAGAAATTTAGCTAGACAGGCAATTCAATTTAATAGGTGATGTTTGGGTTGTGTGTCTCTATCTTTGTGTTTGTACTGTATGAGACAGTGTGTTTGTAGTACAGAGGGATCAATCAGAGAAATTTATATAAAAACCTCTTCACATGACCTTCGTTCTACATGGTTAAAGAAGGCAACTACTCCCCCTATGTTGAATGCACTTTTTCTAATTAACCAGACAGTTCATTTCTGTTTTCCTTGTT